GATAATTGTAATTGTACTTAAGGCCCAGGCTAGCGCTTCGTACAAAAAGCTACTATATACCGCCACGGCAGCGAGCTGCTGGTCGTTCTTGGAATCCTGGCAAGGACGACTTCAGGAAACCGGCAAAAGTTGACTGGACCAGTTGCACGGATTTTTGTCACTAAATCGTAACCGCGACCATCTCGTGAGTTACCTGTTGAAATTAAAAAGAATTTTAGAAAACTTTTCGTACAATGAATTTTTCTATAATTCAAATTGTTAATAATTGCTGTAGCGTTTATATGAGAACTGCGCTCGAAATCACAATTAATCGCGGAATATCACATGGAGCGACAAAATCGAGTATCCAGAATCACCGATTTTACCGCAGAAGCAAATTGCGTTAGCTGCGCGCGCATTGCGAACCCAGCGCATGAAATACGAATTGGAAAAAATAACGGGTGGGAAAAAAAACCTTGAAAAAGAAAAACAGAGTCACAATACAATTATTTCGTCACTATGAATATCGATAGATCGAAGATCGATTTGCGAAAAAAAAAAATATGAACTACCAGTTTACGATCATCGATCGTCATTAACTAAGAAAATGAAGTATTCTTTGAAAAAAAAAAAATGCTCGTCTTTATTTCACTCTGTGTATAAAAAGACTGTAATAGGCGTTGCACGTGGTAACGACGCCGACGCCAAATGATTTATCGGGCAACCCGGTTGCGTTTCAGGATCTGTTAATGATCGTTTACAGATCGCTATCACCTATATCGCTACGTTGCGTACTTACGGGCCACGGGCTATATCGCTGGTTACCCACATGCATATATACATACATTGTACGTAATTACTGCTCGGATCATTGGGAATCCATATTGCCGGCAGGCAATTTATGATTGGATTTATCAAAGGCCAGTTGACCGATAGATCGCTACTCGTACAAATAGAAATCGTTAACTAATCAGCCCTGAAACTCGGTGGTGCTCGCTAATTAAACTGTATGTGCCATTGGCTAAACCTGTTAGCTACTGGACAATGATCGGATTAATATCAGTCTAAACATAGTCAGGCTATATATAATACACAGACAATAATAATAATATCAATATAGGCAAAGTGCACCGAGTAGGCCTACTCGATCGTAACTCTATCTAGAATATCAAAACCAGTTTAAATGCGGCTTAGATCAATAAAATACAATATAAAAGATCGTCATCGATTTTGGCAATCGATCGACATATATTCAACTTCAATGAAATCGATAGAAATAATTTAATCGCGAAAAATGTTACACGACTGATCGGCAATCAAATATATATATATATATATACACCTGCACATCCAATTGACTATACATATGTATATACATCCGTTACAAGTGCTTGTACTTTTAATTGGTTTCGTGGCTCATTAGCCGGCACTTTCTCCGCTAATAATAAGGCAATCATACCGAGTTAAAAGGGGATAAAGTAAAATGTAAAACAAAATAGTTCCGCTCGTTATGTTATGTTTCCTAATACATATGCATATCTATATATACGGATACATGCCTGTCCAAAGGTTTATACTTGGACCGTCCTGTGTCTCCCTGAGGCACTCATACGTATTACACGTATGTGCACATACGGTCGTATCACACTATACCCATTTACATGGTAATCTTTACAACATAATAATCGGCATATGTGCTCCACGGGCTTCTCGTGTTCTTCGTCACACTTTAATCTCCATCTCTCTCTCTCTCTCTCTATATATATATATATATATATATATCTTTTTCTCTCTCCATACACGTTACGATCCTTTCTACTATATTTACTGTCCGGCTCGTGTCCAATCGGATCCACATATGACGCTTCCTCAGGTTCCCTGTATCATTTTATCGCCATTGTAAATAAAAGTACCATGACACAAACCGATCCGTAGATAACAGTTATGACTGCTGGGGGAGGAATGAAAAGGTGAAAAAAGTAAAAGAAAAGAAAAATTCCAAGACTCCTAATAATTCAGCAGGACAATTTATAGCTCGTACGAACGTTACGCTCGCGTATACGTATTCACGTTGTACGTACGATCGTTATTTATCCCTGTGATCCTTACCCTGATTCGTCATTAATAACTCCGATAAGAAATTCTTTATCAGTCCGAATAACCGCGATTGACATTGTCTCTACGTTACGACCACCCGTTATACGATTCTCCCTGTATACCATTTCATTCGAGAGACTCGCGGCTCAACGGGATTTATAATGAATTAGCATTTTAATTGAACGTTACGCGCCTTGTCAGTGGACACTGTAATTAATTAGCCAGGCGGATCCCGACGTTCCGTACACGTCGATACTAATTGACGGCGTTCGATACGCGGTCGCTCTTTATTTTGTACGGACCTGTACATAAGATTTCGTACCGAATATAAGAAATTCTTCGTTAGCGTTTCGTGGACGAGATGAAAAAAGAAAATTTTTTTTTTTTTAACCAAGGAAATAATTCGTCTTATCCCGTCGCGTCCATCTATACTGGCGTTTCAAAGAGAGACGCTCGGTAATTCGTAATTACCGGGCTATCAGATCGGAATCGAATAACACGACGCTCCGGTGTTACCGGTTCTTGTCACAGGATGCATTGATGCGTCTATTAGCAGAAATTTGCAAGTATGATACTTGAAAGTACCACCCTTTGCAAAATCGCTTCGGGGCACTATTGTGTGTGTATATATATATATAGGTATATGATACGTGTTTTATTATTTACACACACGTGGCTCCTGGCTCATTATTGCCAACGGTGCAGACTGTACAAGAGGGTTTGGACTGAGGTTGTAATAACTGTAGGCAATGAGTCGGTTAATTAGTTTATTACACGGTCTAATTTACATGTCCTGTATATGTAGCACGCGGATATAAATTCTTTACGAGATCACATGTGATACGTAGGAGTACGATCGTGAAAACGACATAGCTGTGAAAAGCGTTGGAGCGAGAAGCAATAAATTTGAAAATGATTAAATTACTAATTGGTACAAAATTTTTGTCAATTACTATGTATACGATATGAATTTTTTTTTGGAATTTTATGCATAAATTATTATACTGTGTATAATTGCGCGTGTGTGCGACTATCGCGATATTCTTACGAATTAAAGGCCTTGGGATCCTGTGGACCACGCGAATCGAACGCCGCTACGTGATTACAGTGTTTACGCGAATTAGATTTTGGTTTGGGTAATTTTCAGTTAATAACGCAAAGGGATGGATCTTGGTAGGGAGTTACGTAGGAGAGGCGGTCGGAGCGCCATTAATGCTATTACGAAGGTGGAAGGAAGGAAGGAGGACGAGAAAAAATAAAAGCTAAGGCCGCGTTCACAACTCCAACTTTGGGGTCGTGCTTGAACTGAGATATTCTGAAGTAACGCGCGAACGACGAGAGGCTAAAGTTAGATAGTAGAAGTATTGAGGGGAAAAAAAAGTGTAGAACAAGAGAAGCTTTATGTATATATATATATATATAGAGAGAGATATGCACATGCGAGTAAGAGAAGGAGGACCGAAGAGAAAGAGAAGAAAATAAAATAAAAACCTATCGAGTCTCTCTTACATTATCGTTCGCATTACGTTGGGGCTACCTGCATTATAAGCTTATTTCAGATAAATCGGCTCGATTAAGAGTGCCGTTTAGTGCGAGCCGGCCCGGTAATAAAAGTACCTAAGGCCCTCTCGAACGCGAATTTTTCCCCGAGCGCGTAAAATTGCCCGGGCTTTAAAGGCCGAGCCTTAAGGCGAGCTTCCACGCGATCGGCCAATCGATCCCCGGAAGAGTAATCTGGGCAACGTTCATAGCAATTTCCAAGACGTTCGGGAGCTGTCTGTGTATATGAAAATGGAGTAAATAAAATTATAAAGAGAATTCTCAATATTTCCAATCATCTCAATAACATTCAACGAGAACACCTGTTCTTGATATTATAACGAGATCCGTATTACAGAATTCAGTTGCATTGGACATTTTTACCGTGGCCAAGTTATACCAGCTGTAAGACAAGCTGGGAACGTGCCCGCAGTCGTGTAGTGTCGTCAGGTGGGTGAGGGGAGGGACTGGGCAGGGTCTCTATATCAGTAATACAGCAAGGTCGGTGAAAGGAACGATTGTGCCACTGTAATAGACGTATAGCTATACCGATGTGGGTAAAAAAAAGTTGGTCATAGGTATAAACTGGCAATTGGTCTTACCAACTAATTGACCAATTTTTTGGTATTTTTTTAAAGACTAATTAAAAGCGTCTCGCTGAATACGTTTTTTTTTTTAATTAAAAAGTAACAGATTTTAAAAAAAATATATTAACAGCCGAATATTCGCTATATGTACACGTACCTATCACCTATTTAGGCATACATTGAAACATACCCGGAAGGAAAAAGTCTACCGGAAAACGGCGTCCAGCTACATTTGATGGTGCTGATAGAGCACACGTACCCAGCACTACATGCTTAGGTATGCGATGCGTGTAGCAAATAGCCAATATACATACGCGGATCAAGAATAAGAACGTGTTCGTATTTAAAGTTATTATTACTACGGTAGCTGGATACCGTTTCGAATAGTAGGAATCGCGTGTGGTGAGGAAAGTCCCTGAATGAAGAAATTGCGTAGGCCGAATGGAGGAATAGAAAAGGAATCGGATATGCGATGCTGAGTGCGGAAACTCGGCCGCAAGTTTTGCTGCTGGTTCTTGGAATTAAGTATGATAATTTTCCAGTGGCTAAATCTTCATAAGGTTAACTGTGGCAGCTGAATCCTCAGTTCGGTTCCTAGTGTGATACGTGAAGGGACGTTCTTGAGTGTGGCTCGAGATGACTTTTTGGTTAAAAGAAAAACATCCGAGCAGACCTCACTGGTCGATTACACGATACTTATTTATAGGTTATGGTTGTCATACTTATTAATCATATTTCGTATTAATGAAATCCGAATTTAGCTTGACACTGACGTAAGTGTTAATTATTTGTCTTCAGAGAATTCCGGCCGTGGCAGCAGCGAGGCGGTCTCGCAGACGAGTCCAGGAAGTAGCTCGAGCAACTCCAGCTTGACCCAGGTGACCCAGGTGACCCAGGTGAGCCAGGCTCACCAGCCCCCGACATCCGTGTCCCAGACTGTGCAGATGGGTATCTCGACGACGGAGGAAGTTAGACCGGACGAGGAAGGTGTTCATCCTAGAGCGGCGCCTACGAGTCCCGAGAGCGAAGCTGAGGTCGACGATTTCACGCCCAAGAGGAAGCAGCGTCGTTACAGAACGACGTTCACCAGCTTTCAATTGGAGGAACTGGAGAAGGCCTTCTCCAGGACCCACTATCCCGATGTCTTCACCAGGTGAGCCTATTCGTACGGTTTATTATGGATATATGTCCTTTTTCAGAATTACCTAACCCAACCTGTTACCAACCGGTGGCCTTCACTCCCGTCTCACTTAGGGTCCCTATCTCTGGAAGATCCCTCTTCATCCCGATAGGATACACAATTTCAGGGCTCCTGGAGGTCTAGACGATAGCAGAAGGCGTCCTGGACCCAAGGTAGAGGGAGCTAACGGCACTATGAGATACGGTGTACAACACCAGCCCTATTAGTTTGCCTTGGTATCCACTAATTCCCGATAAGGCCCACCGCATTCCCGTCAAGTCCCAAAACTGATGTTCGCCACTTAAGCTAACCAGGTCTGGTTATAATCCTTTGACGACAAAGAAAGGAACCCCAGCAATGGCTATGATCGTGACATTGGATTTATACACCGGCAACGATTCCGCTATATAATTCTCAATCGCCGGGAGTTATCGCGGTTACCCGGTACAGGAGACAACGAACAAAGTGCACTCTGCTATTTCTTACTCTTCGTTCTTCACGTTAAATAATTAGTCGCTCAGCCTCCGAGGATAATGACGTCCACGTTCGATGGGGTCGGTCCCCCGTCCCGGAGATGTTTCCATGACCAAGGTACAGTCTCGTGCATCGATCATTACTTTTTCGCGGGGACTATGGGAGTGCCTTACGGAGTGGGTATGCAAATTCATCGTACACGAGGACTACTCTCCCCGTAGATGGCGTAGAGTCAGGAACGTGCGGGTTACCGCATTACATAGTAACTCCACGCCAATGGGGTGTAGTGCAATCTGTCTGGATTTTTTTACCTGGAACACCCGGTAGGTAACTAATAGCGGTGTAATCGAGCGTAATGGCTCTGGTCCTATACGAACGCGGTGTGGGTTCTCGCGATTAAGAAGGAAAAGTGGTGGCATTAACGCACGAGAGTTGGAACAGGAAGTCTCGGGTGTGGATAAGTGGTATTTTTGAAAAATTTTCAAAGAAAAAGATTTTTTTCCTATCTTGAAATTTGCGGATCATTTTTTTTTTTATTTACTGTTTATTCGAACTTTTGATGCTGTTTTCAGGTCTTACGTGTAATTTGATTTCTGACTCTTTTTTTTTTTACTGCCAGATACGAGCTGACGTATCTCGCGGGCAACCAGCTGTGTAATATTATTAATTTTACACTAATTGGATTTTATGCTCGCTTGCCTTTATTATTGGCTGCTCGATTCTCGGCTATGGGTCAGTTCAATGCATATTCATTAGTCGTTGCGAGAACGGCACGTGTGCTCGAGCGTGTCGGTGTTGCATTTCTTAGGAAATTGGAAAAAAAAAATTTATTTTTAGTCACCGGTTATCATTAATCATTAATAATTATTTGATAAACATCGAAAGGTCACACGTTAATCCTATTTAAATATTTCTAATTAATCATTGTTTCGCGACGAGATAATATTGGGGAAAAAAATTGTTTTTCTCAATCGTTAATCATAATATTATTTGATTATACAATGTTTACCCGTAATCCCGCAATTGACCTTTTCAACACGTTTTTTCCTACTTTCAATCCAATACCGTCTTTCGTCCTTGTGCACTTGCCATATGCACTGCAGTCAATATGCAAAATATCTGACGCCATATACCAACCCCGTATTTCACCGGCTCTTAAGATCTAATTTCGATAAAACCAGTAAATCGAGCTACCGAAAACCAATCTCAGTTAACGTCCTCTCATGGCGCCCGATTTGTCTCGCTATTGGTTTTCAGTAGCAGCAGCAGCCACCACCACCGCGCATCTTTACTCTTTTATTCAGACTCTATCGTTTCATCGAAGAGTCGACTCTTCCTGGAACATCATCCTGAACGAGGACCATATAGGAGGCGCCGATTAGACACGAACGATAATGGTCGTTTCTAGTAGCTCCCGCATACGCGGACCCGAGTCATCCCGAATGATTACGAATCCTCACGAACGATTCACGCCTAACTTCAGTCGACTCCAAATGCACACTCTCCGTCCTAACCTAGTTTCTAACGTTTTTTTTTTTTGAAATTCAAATTTTCGCGCCACTATCCAATTCTAATGAAATCCAGTCCAACGTTATATATACATCAGCCAACGTGTTAACTCGAGGGAATGACTCGGCGTCGGTTAGGGTTAATGACAGGAGTCCAGGGTACCCCGAGAACTAGAGCCGTACCTGGATCACTGGAAACAATCATCGTTATTAAACTCATCCCCATCCACTGTCAGATATAAAACTATCCTCTGAGAATTATTTACCAGGAACTATAGGGTACTGGCCAACGTCCAGTCCTACCAAGTCATCTATATTATACTCGGTGTACGTATGTTTAGGATTAACGTAAAATCGTGAAAAATATGCAAATACACTAAATAACCCTTGATTAAAATTTATATCGATAAAAACTAACCTAACTTTTTTTTTTTATTTCACGTATCAATTCAATCGCCTATCACAGCAACGCGAACTGCCTGAATTGTTTGCCGAGATTCATCCCGCTACCGATTGCCGCTATACCGTGGCGAATTAATAATTTGCTCGACACGCAGTACGCGTATTATCCGCGCATTACGCACGCATTAAGCACGCATTACGCGCTACGCTACTGAACTTTCTTTCAACTTGCCGTCCCTCCGCAAACATTACACGCTCCGTAGTAAATGAGGCGCCCGTGGGCCTTGAAAATTCATATTGTACCAACATGCGGTATTGTATGGTTAATTTGAAAAAAAATTTTATTTGATTTCGAAGAGGAGGGAGTCCTATAAGTTTTATTATCTTTTTCATGACCAACCAAAATTTTTGCCATGACGTCAGGATTCTTGATACTTTTAGGCCACGTGTGTCAGGGAAAAAAATAAATTTTCTTAAAGTCATCAAATGATCTATCCAGTCGTATAGATCGATAAAAATCATGGATATATCCAAAAAAAATTTCATCGATTTATTAATTATTGGTATCGCTGTTTATCAATTCGGCCGATCGATTTATATATGATTTAATGACGTAAGTGTTTGTGCGATATGAAAAAAAAATTGTAATTATGAAATAACTTAGTTATATTAATGACCATGATAATTGACTGCCGACGAATCATTTCCTTGGCTCGTACGAAATTTCCACGAAGGCCAACTCTGATGATGACGTTCACTCTGCTGCGTTAAACAATAATAATTAGACTTGCGCCACGAGGCACAATCACAGCGGTCCGTTGAGCGACGGCAGTAGAAATCGTGTCCTGTGCAGACTGGCTCTGTCCGACCTCCGAGGTTAATGAGATAATGTAATTGTCCGGTAATTACACGAATTACTAACCCCGTTCACCCGCGCGTCGAATAAAGCATCTGGAAAGTCAAAACGCACTACGTGCACGCCATGTAAGTGGTAAGAGTCAGATTAGAAACCAGACGGCTGACTAACCTAACCTAACCTATAGAGGCAAAAGTAGTGAAAAAAAAGGATTGTTAGACCTTAGAAGGTGCTGGCGATAAATGATTGTGAAGGTAGCCATAGGCGTAGTAAAACTATAGTCAAATAGTCTGTTGAGTCAGTGAGTCTAGTCCGAGTCCTGTGTGGCTGCTTTCCCAGAAGCAAAACCTTCTCTAATCCACTTAGCGGCTGGCTTTGATGTCGCTTCCATTCCTGCCGCGTTACGAAATTACATGAGTCTTTGCCTTATGCACGGTGCCCCGCTTGCTGTATATCTATATACTTGAGACAGAGAATGAGATGCAGAAATCGTGTCTGGCGGGTGAAACGGCAAAATTTTGGAAAAAAAAGGGGTGTATGGTGTAAAATTTTTTTTTTTCACATACAGCGATTTTATTCATTTTTACAAGGGTACAGTGGGGGTTGTAACTATGGGTAATTTATAGGGGGTGATTTTAGGGTGATTTGGATTTCTTTTATTTGTGAAATTTTTTGGAGGATTTTTTTTTTAATTTCACTGACCACGACTTTGTTGGAAGTGAGATAGGGACGAGTGGAGATCAAGGGTATCTCGCATCGTGCCGCAATAAATCCGCAATCAACCATCGATCCTGACTCTCTTACCTGTAATTTAGTAGCCTGCTGCATTTCTTACGCTATTGCACCGCAAATGATTCTAAACGCGGCTTTGGCTTCTGTATACGGTAATCAACGATGGTTTCTTTGGCGATTTCGAGGAACATCTGGGGCAATTTGACTTTTAAATGAACGATCCAGATACGCCTCGGGGCAATCACTCTGGATTACGTAAATTCCTTTACTCCTGTGCTCAAAGATCCTTAATCCTGAATCAAAAGAAAAAATTGTAGCCAGGATCGAGAGACTAATTTTTTTAAAACGATCCTTTCGTACTCAAAGTTTTTATTTTTCATCCTAACACTGTTTCGTGAAAAAAGAAAAAGAGATCCGAATCCATTGATCCAGTTGAACGTCATGACCTTAAAGATCCGTTCTTGTCTAATGATTACATTTTTTTTTTGTTTCAGGGAAGAACTCGCTATGAAGATCGGTTTAACGGAAGCTCGTATACAAGTGAGTCCATAAAGCATTGTAAAGCGCAATTGTCAATTTCAAAATTTAATTTAAAAAAATTAATATTAGATCAAAGAAAATTGATCGCGTGACGTAGGATATATTTTATATGTATACAGTCGTGTATGCATAGTCACTATATATATATTTATACATATGGATATATCCACACGTATATAACTCATATGTGGCACATGCGTGTCGGCAAGACTCTCGCAGGAGCACACGAGGCGCTTGTTGCGTGAACAGCTGGCTAATTTGCTCAATTAGTTTAATTTATTCTTGGTATTTACGCTTCCTTGCTCTTCCACCCCTATAACCCCGTTCACATCTTAACCCCTTTTATTTTCCATCTTTTCCGCAAAAGCGTTACAGATATAAACGCAAGTCATTCCGCGGGACACTCGCGACATAAAAAACGGCAACTACCAACCGTGAGAAAATTCTTAGAGATGACTAATAAATCGCGATGCTTAATCAATTATAATTAGCGGCGACATAATTAAATTAATTGATACCACCGAGCGAGACGGTGATGTAACGTCACGGACGACGAAGCAAAATTAATTATTTCATAGAATCATTAAGATCCGATAAATTATTGATCGATCATCGATCGGATCCTCGACCAAGGTTAAGTCTTTGAAGAAGAATATAAAAAAAAAATTTTGAAATTTTTTTGAATTTTCAAAAAAAATTTTAAATTCACTTTTTTTTTTATTTTTACGCAAAATCGCGCAAGACCCAAATAATTGACCTTATGCCAATTTCAATGATCGATTGACTCCTCTCGCTGTAGGCTACTTCAGAGAAATATATCGAATCTCCGTGTCAGGCCCATTTTTAATTCTCATCTATACACACCAAACCTCAATAAGGCCCCTTTCTCTGTATCCCATCTCCTTGTACCTACTTAGGAATCATTACTCGATAGTTACTACCTGCTTACGCTTTGAATCATTTATTTCTTCTTGTTCACTTTGATACCTCAGCACAGGTTAGTCACTTTACTATACAGGGTAGCCAACCTGTACGATCCTTAAATGGATAAACTAATAATCCCCCTTAAATCATACAATATAATTCGAGACGTGTTCCACGAAGAGGATTAAGGCCCAAAGAATAATACGGTATTAAAGTCTCTCTCTCTCTTTCTCTCTCTCTATACTATGTCTCTCTATACATCGGGCCCCTTTTCATTCTTCTTAATCGGCAGTTAATCTCGTGAGAGCACGACGCCGTTGATTCTTCACGCTCGTTGGGCGTCGCGACGCAATAACAATTAAGCTCGGCTCACAGTGCCCAAAAATAATTCTAAAAAATAATAATAAAATTACACCAGTACATCTGGACTATGACCACCACCACAATGTAGAAAATACGTTAACGGGCCTCTGACTTTACCTACGTAAAATGACTCGTCCATTACGAATGATTATCACTGAGGATCGGTATGCTGATGATCGTAATAAGTACCGTCTTCCGTAGAGATAAGGCCCAGAATGAATGATGAATTGCTGTGGCAAGATCTCGCACTTAATGCATGCCACGTATACGGGTACAATCCTTGCTAAAACTTTTCGTTGGACAAAAACGGAAATGCCGGCCAAAAATTACTCAGATCACCCGTAGGTCCCAACCTGTAATTAACCATAGGTATAGCATGTATTACGTAACGCAGTACCAACTAGACGGAGTTTGATTGGCTTCGAGATTGAAAAAAAAAAAAAACAGTTGGAATTATCATCGTCGATCTTATCAATCCGAACGGAACTTCTGGCGCCCTTATCAAATCTTTCCATCTGATTGTCCCTCGCGGAACGCATGAACCACCTGCCGGCAAGGACATTCACGCTTCGTGCTTCCTTTTACGTAATGCTGTCCCACCCGGTGTCTAATTCATTTCTAATGCGAGTGGAGTTCCTGTATTATTTTTTTTTTTTTAATACTTTATTTTGGTAAAATCTTTAAGGGAGGTTTATGACGGGTATAACCTTACTTTCGAAATTGGATCAAAGTGAAACTAGACAGTCGCGCCTATAGTCACTCTCATTTCAATCGGAACGAATATAAATGACGTATATAGCTTGTGCCACCGTACCGTATATTGGCTGCAAAAGTACACGCGATATGCCGTGCTTCCCGGAGTCCAGGAATCTATAGAGGACTGTCGCGGTCGGTGCCGAGATTGCCGGAAACTATTTTCGAGGACCGACAAACGTCGTGAATTTAGACCACCGTGAATCTATGGTTTTTATGGGGGAACGAAGACATACATTGAATTCAGGAACGTCGAAGAAATTTTGAACGGATAAAAAAAAATTTTCCCACATTCTTTGAGATTTGGTTGAAAAAAATGTCTGAACCCGCTTTTCGTGCCGGTCGCTCGGAAATTGTTTTTTTTTTTTTTTCGAACAACTTTCGTCACTTTAGAAAGATCTCGTTCGATTCTCATGACGTAATTAATGTGCCGCAATTAAGCCGAGGATGACGAGGTTTCCGCGGCGTCGGTACGTTTTGTTTTAAACCGTCGATGTTTAGCGCCCTGCTGGGGGCAATCCTGTTCTCGATGGGGGGTCATGGGGCAGGACCCCTTCCAGGACTTTACGGAAAAAAAAAGAAGAACCAGTTCCCGACCTCAAGAAAAAGAGCGCGGCGTCGCGCATAAGACACACTGGGGGTACCGGCTATCGAAAACCGGCCGCAACCCCCTGCCCTTCTCGCCCACGCGGGGAAAAACGCGGCGCAGCTTTATGATCTGCCTGGTGGAATTGGAGGGAGAAAATTATAATAAAAACCCATAAGGGAGAATTTTTACGAGGAACCGTGGAAGTGAAACCGACTCCAAATCATCACTGTATATACAGAATGAAAAAAAAAAAATAAAAGGGTAGACCAAACGAAAAAGCAGTCCATCGTCTATCCTACTATCCACCCTATTAACCCTCAGAATTTATACGATACTATTTCCCATAGAAATTCTGGGACAGTTCGACATAACCTCAATCGTATATAACCACGTGGGTTACGGGTCCGGTTTGAGATGTCAAATTAATTTACAGCCGTTACCAATAGAAACTCGAGAAACAAGAAAGCACGTAAATAAACCTTTACAGTGTTACCAGTCTTGCGTGGTAATTTAAAAAAGAAAACCCTAAAGTTCTCTATAACGTCCCATGGCAGGATGGGGTTAGAAGGCGACGTCTCGTAAATCTAACGGATGCTGGGCAAGAGTACAGGAGATGAATCTAGCCGTAAACGACAGCACGCTCCCGAAGCCCAGAGTCGATCAAGATCCCCGTAGCAAAGGAGTGCCGAAGAATTATAAGCCAAACACAGTGGAGCTACCAGACGGGAAGCCATTGGCGATCTCGAGAGGGTCCCGGTGTGGTAGTCCCAGCCAGGTTCTATGGATCGGTCCAGAAGAAGATACTGCAAAGTCATCGACTCCACCGATCCCGTCAGACACCATGGACCGTTTTCCCCATGACGAAGCTGCTGGCTCTCCATGCACAAGCCAGCATGTTCAGACGCTCCACATCTTAGATCGGCTCTTTTGACTTGTAAATTCGAACAAGGCCGAAGGCTACGGCTATGACCAGTTTTTTCATCTCTGTCAAAATCCCCGTGGAACATGAACAATAAAAAAATTGCATCTCTCCCCTATTACAGTTTTACCTGAATCCCCCCAAATTGCCTGTATCTCGCGTTAAAATGTTCAGATAACGTCTACCAGCACGATTGGATAAGTTGAATTGTTGTTGACGTTACCCTGTTTAATCTCATTGCATCTCGTCACGAGATCACAGGTCGGCCATGTTTTGATACGTCCACGTGACGCAATAACCCAACCTATCGTTTCTATAAGTCTCTCAATATTAAAAACGAAGCCGTTCACGTGACTGTGTCGTTTGAATTTTTCAACAAGCCGCATTCACAATCGACCCAACAAACCTTTCGCTGTTGTCTCCGTTCTATTTGGCAACAATTGGTCTACGGTCGGCGGAGTGAGCTTTTATCTTAAATCTTCTTGTCTCTTTCGCCTTTTAAAAAGCCACAGAGAGACACGATAGACGAACTGGGCTGGACCTGCTTGTAGGTGGAGGCAGAAGCGGCTGTTTCTACGGTAGGGCGGACTGGGGTCGGGGAGCGGGACGAGAGTGGGGCATGATGGCCGAAGGAACTTCCGCTGAACTGATTAGAGCTCGGGTCTCTTCGAGGAATCTTCGCGAAGGAATGCTGGAATGGTGGACGCATCACGAACTCTTTAGTTATGGCGGTCATTTTCTTATTTTTATACACTTATATATCTTTCCGGATGGAAAGAGCGAAGCGACGGGTTGGGAGTGTAGAAATATTTTTTTTTTTTTTTTTTCATACTTTTCATAACTGACCATTTTTTTCCTCATTTTCTTTGGAACGACAATGAAAAATTTTGCCAACTTTACCGAAGCCCGCGTGTACGCGTCGGTGAAGCGAGGGTTCCTTGCGTCAGCATCAGCCTTCCGAAAAGTCGTATCAATTAGCCGCTTATTTCCTCTTGAGAAAGTGAACAGCCTCAAGCTCTGAACTCTTGCTGCCATTCGAAACGGCCTCGGTCCAAGACTAACGGCTTACGAGGACCCGCGAATATTCTGTTATTTGGTAAAACACCGGCTTTGCCTTGAGCGTCTTTTTCTTTCTCTCTCTCCCTCTCGCTCTTGATCTATCTATCTCTGTCTCTGTCTTTCTTACGCTCACCCATCGCTATAATGATACACCGTGCAACAGAGTCGATTCACTATGCGTCACTTAGCCGGAATTCAAACTCCCGTAGGTCAGAAACAGTTTCCAAGGATCATAACCCAACGAAGCGGATCCCGGAATTCATTGGAAACCATTAAAGTCTCTTTCTGCTATGCGTTGTTATGCTTTAGGTTTTATCGTTATTAAAGTTTGTATATCTATACAGCAAGTATCGACTTCCGTGGATGAAAAGTCAGTTTAATGAAAATCCTTGCTGGTCTCTGTGTCAAATTTTCTTTTTTTTTCTCTTTCGCAGGTCTGGTTTCAGAACAGACGGGCAAAGTGGCGCAAGCAGGAAAAGGTCGGTCCGCAAGCTCATCCGTACAATCCTTATCTGGGTGCGGGAGCAGCACCGCCATCTGCCGTCGTCGCTCCGACCTTACCAAATCCGTTTGCGCATCTGGGCTCGTTCGCACTGAGAAAACCTTTCGACGCCTTTCGATTTCCACCCCTGGCACATGGACCGGTCTTGCCTGGAGGTTATCCGACGCATCCTTATCACAGAGCTCCGCCGCCGTTACTCCCGCCCGGGATGCCGCTGCCTTACACATCAGCCGCGTCCTTCCAGAGTCTCCTGGCTAATATATCAGCATCTCAGAGACCTAAGCTCGTTCGCAATTCGCCGCCGCCACCTGCACCCGCCATTGGGCTGCCGCCGCCACAGCCACCTGCACCCCCTACGGCCAGTTCACCCCAGGGATCGCCTACCGGAAATCCCACTGCTCTTCCTGACATCGACAGGAGGACCAATAGCATCGCTTCGCTACGGCTCAAGGCTAGGGAATACGAGCTGCATTTGGAAATGTTACGCAAGAATGGGGACCTTATCAGCTGAATGGAATTTGCGAAATTTTTATAACATAAGCTCGACACTCCCTTTATCACGTACTCTTTCTTCTGCTCTTTGGTCCTTCTTTGGATTGATCTACTATGTTGTTATTGATTTTCTTTTTCTTTTAATTTTGAATGCGCCGGGTCGGTTGATCTTTAGGATTTATTTGAAGAAAAACAATTATGATAAAGCGTTGTTTCTGACGTTGGGGTTAATTTCTTTTTTTTTTTTTGTTTTTCGATTTATCGCACACGATCGAATTTACTTGACTGTTCAATACGTATCGATCAAACGTTATTGCAGACTTTATATCTTCGTTTCATTTTTACTGAAATGGAATTCGTATCTTGTTCGATAATCGGAATTTTTGATATTTACTCAAAAATGAAATAAGGCTAACTTCAAGCGTAACGTAACTTTCTCACGGCGTCTGATCATTATGATTGAGCAGTGTTTATCCTCGGATTCCTATTTGACCGTCTGGAGCCAAATATTGTATCCTGCCAATTGACAGAATTTCGAGCTACGCTCGACCACTCGTCGGACAGAGTGATCGATCAACGCTGACGACTTGAAGGACCATTTGGGAAAGGATTGATTTGTTTTTTTTTGAGAGGAGAAAATTCGATCGTTTCCATATTGGTTCTCCGAGTGGTCGTCGCTTTTTAGCGAGGATCAGGATTATCTGTCTGTGAAAAAAATTAAAAAAAAAAAGTAAATTCACGCATACAGTTTTATGTAAAAATTCGAAATTATCATTTGACAAAAATTTGTTAAATGAAACCTAATGAAGGCAAATTCTTGTCAGACTCTGCATCCTGAATAACTCACAGCGTATTCAGGACGTAGAATTGTTTTATCTTGTGCAGGAGCGATATTCCGTTTGTTTATATCTTTTTTTATTCCGTTTTACTGGGGGGGAACGAAAAAATTTTTCCTAATGCAAAATCGTGCAATAATCGCGACAATGTACGCGTGGTAAGTAGCGCGACCAAATACGTAATTGCTAATTATTCAAATAATTTTAGATATCGCGGATGATATCTATAGAGAAGTCTTTTTATTGATATTATATGAGTCGTGTGCCTTAGAATATATACACACACATATATATAAATATATATACAGTCCAGTAGCATACCGCGCTACAGGACGTTTCATTAGGGGCCTTACTTTACATCCTTTATAACAAAAGAAAGAAAAAGGAAAAAGAGTAAATACAAACAGGCTGTCCGTCCATAGAAAATCATCGAAAAAATGTCCAAAATCGATAAGTCGCAATAAATCGAGTCGGACGGCGTCTCGATCGACATACAAAAATGGTATATAAAAATTTTTAATAATTTTTAAAAATATGTAAAGTATCTCATTTTGTAATTTTTTTTTTTTTTTTTAAAAACGCCGACTCGATATGTGCGCTAATGACTATTTACTTACGATTCATATTTTGAGGTTAGATAACTATTTATACGCCCTATAATGATATTATTAATAATATTATTTTCGAAAAGGTTTTCAGCTGCATACTCATAAGCTGTATATATAGTATTACGTCAATGCGGATGAGTGTATTTGAAATTTAACGATTACCGATCAATCACCATGTTAATTATTGCGGATGATAAAACTATGCGGTTTGCGAGAAACAAATATTTTTGCCGTCCCTATGATGATGACACTTCCGGTCAATTAATAAAAAATCCCTAAAAAATGTCCTGGAGGTAACTATAAAAAAAATTTGCCATCCTCTATAACAAATTCAATTTAAAAACATATCGATAAGATACATGGAATATTTTGGATAATTGAAAAGAAAAAATGATTCTCACCAATTCACTTCAATAATATAACGGATGTTCCTTAAACGTCATCATAGCTATGATAACCGGAAGTGATAACATCCTATACCTCCATCTTCCATCAGACTCGAACCAATAGTACTTTAAGAATCAAAGTCCTACCTTACCGACCGCGAAATAAAAAAATTCGAAAATTCGATAGTACATCAGACGGCACCGTGGTTGCTAAAAATTTAAGAAATTCGCAGTATCAGCGTGCATTGTACTTATTATTATTAACCTTTATCCATTTTGTGATGAGTAAAGCCTATTGCCAATAAATAAATATACAAGATCCCCATACGATAATATAATTATTTCTACATTCCATAATCGTCGTCCCTGGCTTAATATATCCAGATAAAAAAGATAGTAAAATTTTTTAATAAAATTTCCAAACAAGGCACCATCGGCGTATCGCTACGTCCAAGCCTCATATATATACATATATACACCGCAGTAATACCAGACATGGTATAAAAGCCCCAGGGTAAAATGGCGGGCTATTTAAATATTTTATAGTTTAATAGGCCTTGGCTATTAATGCCCGTAAAGCTAATTAGCTCCGCTGCTACGGACACGCTCCGAGTGTTAATCGACGGCGTATCAAGGATCGATAAATCAGAAAAGGGGGCCGTGCGAATTTCCAATGGCGCGCACAGCATCCCGGCGTTGAAAGTCCGAAGAAGATCCCAAGGTGGTAGGTACTATAGGTACGAAGCTTTTAAGATGAAGGATACCCTTGGACACTCTTACTTAATTCAAAGGGTATACTGTATCCACCTATATGGTAGAAAAAACTCATATTCTTCTTCTTCCCCTGTTGGTCCATCTAAAAATGATAGCAGCAGTTGAAACGATCGATATGCAGACCACGCACGGTTACTCGATCCAAAATTCATCGCGCTGGACCACCATTAGCAAATTACTACGGTGTAAACAAATCGACCCGATCTCTCAGCCACTCTCAGCATCCCTCTCGCGCGCCAGTCAGTTAGTAACCAGTGATTACCGTGACGTTTTACACCGGTTCTAGCCACCTAATAACTGTCTACATCAAAATGAATTTAGCGATCGGTTCTCGGTTGGATTCTGAGGTCCTGATCAACAATACTCTTCGTGGATCTTTACCACCTTTTAAGATGAATTTGGATTCAATGTTAAAAAAATGGTCCATGCATGGAAATAAAATGCGGATTAGATATTTAAAATTTATACAACACGTATATTAATAGATACTGTATGGGTACATGTCGCAGCATCAGTTTCTAATTGTCCTCCGAAATTATGTATATCGCTACTATATCCTGAACATCTTATCTACGGTAGCTATCGTCTTATCTCGCGTATGAGCACGCGTGAGATTTATCCTCTTAACAATCCATAATTGCGGGCTTGCCCGTGTAACTATAACTCGGTTAACGTGATCCCTAAGTCCCGGTACCGTGTCTTATGCCTATCATCGTCAAGGTGGATGCAGATTACTGCAGCATCCCTGGGATAGCGAAATCATCTCTAGACTTTGATCTTCCTTCGTTCTCGAAGATTTAAAATCGTCTTCGCTCTAAATACCTCAGCTCCTCGTGGCGCGGCAATTATTCGACTAATCGATCCTAATGAGATCGATTACACGGATTACAAATCCATACAGCATCCGGACGACAATAATAATAATAAACCGCGCTAAATAAAACATGTATAAAAATTTATCATAATCTTTACTTAATTTACTAAGATTTTGGCAAAACGAAATTTTTTCATCTCCTGAGATTCAAAATCCTTAGTAGCATTCTGTTTCTGGGTGGGACTACAAAATATGAAACAATCAGTACCAAAAGAGGCTGAGCCACTAGGAGATGAGGGATGCACAGCGTGACGGTCTAATTGAGGCCTTCTTGATTGCATTTACACCGGCAAGGCACACGGCCTCCCGTATACGAGTATCCCAGCATCCAACACTGGTCCAGTATTATCTTATACAGCTATAAGGATCTTCAAGAGGCAAGTTTGCTCGCTATTATATAAACGCGCTCTTCTCGTTCATACAGTCGTCTGGTAAGACCTTGGAATTACTAAGGATAATTTGTCCACCTGCTTCGTCCTCGGATGTGCAACACATAATCTCGTCCTTGATCCTTGATGCGAGTCTGACTATCTCTGGATCTTTCCCTTTTTCGTTGTTCGCCTTTTTTTTCTATATGCTTCTCTCTCACTCTCTCTCGGTATTTTTTGTTTTCACTTGCTCCTCTCATATTGGTAGGCCTTAGTGGTCTGTGTATACGTATATCACATGTGTAACCACACGTGTTCTCCATGAGGCGCTCACTGCGATGACAAGATGTCTGATAAGAAATTGTATTAATCACTTGCTAAACGAGCTTCCTTCTTCGGGACACCTTCGCATTAAGGACCAACTTGAAAAATGGCCTCTCCGCTGCCCAACCTGGAACCAAAGCGATTTCCATTAGCTCGTGGTTTATAAGAGGATGCTGCGAGAGATCTTGGTACAGATCAATTTGTTTAATTTTTTTTAAGACCAACGGCCAATTTTCTCTATTGGGGTAGTACGTTGGATATTTTTTGGGAGATTTTGACAGGGATTATTTATGGGGTAAATGTGGTATGGGGATAGGAGAGATAAACAGTGTGAAAAGTCTGATTGGTCTTTTTTTTTTTCCTGTGAATTGTTTGAGTCCCTTGGAACTGGATGGTGCGGTCCAACTCTTTTGGGCCTTATTATGATCATTATATCTTAATTTATTTCCTTATTTAAAAAGTTGGATGGACTTCGCTATGGGAACTGGGAAGTAATGATATAATTTTGCGAGGCGTCGCGGCCATTTGCATTCGGGCCCTGTTATTCGAAGATGTAATGAACGCCCACTACTATATTCAGAAATTCCGGAATGACTCCTCTTTCCACTTTCAAGTCAACTACGTCTTGGGGCCCAACTGTCCCGGGTGGTTCAGGATCAGAACCAAAGGCATCTGCATACAAAACTCGCTTATACGATTTTTGAAATTGGAAGAAATTTTTTTTTTTTCTCTAGGAATTTCCTTTTAATTTTATACCAAGAATGGGACTCAGGTCCCTCGATCGTAAAACCAACGTGTTTTGAAGACATGCCGACGCATTGCTGTGATGTGGTCGCAATATTCTCTGCGGTTTGCACCCTCTGTGAGAAAATCCCAAGAAACCCCGTAAGTGCACGTTAAAGATTCCGACGTATCAAAGTCAAGATAATTAAGAAAAAGATTCAGACGAAAAAAAAAAAAGAATCAGTCATTTAATTTCAAATTTGATGATGATCCCCATAAAAGTTCAAAAGTCACAGATTCCCATTAAAATCTTGGCTCCGTAGCGATTGGAATAGTAGAAAAAAAATGTCTTACAAAAAACACTATAGACCTAGTTGAAAGGTCATGCAGATTAGAAGATCCCGTATCCATCTTGTATATAGAGCTTCGTTATAAATGAACCATCGGGTCCTTTGTTCGACGTCCGCTGCTGACCAGGGGTGAGAGAGGGTAAGGTAGATTATGGTACGTAAGCTTAGGGTATTACTTGGCCTGTGGTTTACGCCCCTTGTGAGAAAAACATTAAGCCCCGTACACATCTCTCACCACCACCCACGAACTTGTTTACGATCCACCGCGAGTGTTACTGTCATTAGTAAGACTCCGAAGTCGGCTGCAACTGCTTCGGTAATTTGCGCTTGGTTCACGAAGCCGCCGCCGAGTGGCGTTGCGGCCTCGCGTTACGTTACGTGATAACGTGACTCAATGGCGACGCCGACGCCGACAGAGCATCTTTCACGTCTTGCCGCAACACGCAGAGGTCAAAAATAATGGATTCGCTAGATGAGAAACCAGGTGTGAACTATCAGCTATTACACAAGACCATGCGTCATTTGCAAACAACCCATTCCGGCAGCTGTCAACTACTGTGAGAAGAAAATTCAAATTTTAGGTTAGGACATAAAATTACGTTCAATCATAAGGTATTTATGCTGCTTTCTTTCTGAAGGTTCAAAATTAATGGATCTTGCGCGATGATAATTCGGGCCTTATCTCTGGCCCATTAATCAGAAACCATTCGTACAATGGAGCTCGGATCAGGAAGCACAGCTAATTCGTGCATTGTCTGGCTGCGGCTTCTTGAAATTAAGCGTCATTGTTTAAAAGAGAATCCATCCTGATTGTCGATGAGTAATGTGGTAATGTGCAATGGCGTACCTTCCAGATATCTTCAGTATACGTCGGCGATATGAGGAACAAGATGAATTAAGGGTTCGTCAGGGTGGCTGTGGGGGTTGGATATTAACTGTGGATGATCAAGAGGACGGAAGAAGCAAGTTGACGGAGATGAATACATACTATATAGAATGAGATGGTAATATACTTTTTTTCTTTGTCATACCCTATACACTCTTTCTCTCCCTCTCTCTCTCTCTCTCTCTCTCTCTCTCTCTCTCTCTCTCTGTCTTAAGGCGTATCTCCATGCTTGGATCTCTAATGAGGATCATCAATAATGCAAACGGATGTTACAAGGAGAAAACGAAATTTACGAAGCATCGGGTGGACAGCGCATCGGTGGCTCAGCGGGTACCGGTAAATGGTGTTAATTAGTAAATTTGATTTAGGCGTAAATGAAGCCGCACAATAGGCGTATACCAGATCGGCATGATGTACGGCCACCAGACAGTATTAAATGTTTAGTCCTGGACACATAGAAGGCACTAGCTACGGCCGAACGAAGTTTCCTTGCGAATCTTCCATGCAAGTTCTTATAAATCAATATAAAAAAAAAAATGAATACTTATAAAAGTTACTAGAATGAGTATCACTGATCTGGCCTATTATTAATCTGAATAATTTCTGTATAAAAAGTTAACGAAATTTGGAAATTAGAACGAGTTACTTTCTACAAATTACCACGTGTACGTAGAGGCATATTGGCTTTATTTAACAGCCGTCTCATGGGACGGGGTTAAATTTCGATAATGACGCAGTGGCTACCGAAGGATGCACTTCCCTTAAAGGTAAAGCTGGGTATAGGGCCGTTAATCGGAGGGCATTATCTCAATCACGTAAAACGGCAAAATTGCATTTACCTTTTTAAATGAATATTTGGCGGGGACGTTGGGCCGCCAGGCTCCCGCCCGCTAAGTTAATTTACCATGGAATGCTGGGTACCGCCCTGTTCAACCCCCATGCCGAACAAGTATTGTCCACATTGGCCCCTTACACGCGACTCCCATAACAGCCACCAAATACTAGTACAAATCCCATAGCCAAGACAGAAACGATAAAAATCATTCGAAGATCAATCCTACAAATCGATCGAATAACAATCGTTATTACCGATCACCTTGAATTTTATTAATATTAAAATCATCATCAATTCACTTAATCTTAGAAAACGCTTGAATATCATGAAAAATATCATCAATCCTACAACCACTAATTTATTCAAATCTTTCAGGAACGACGTCGGCCGTCGGTTTCTCGAAGATTACCAGCGTGTAACTAGGCCTTCAGCAAGACGGCTAACAGATTCCCGGGCTCGGCTGGCTCGCGGGCTCGTATCTCAGTATCTGATAATTGGAGTGGTAATTACGCGATGATTAACAGAGATGGCTCCCGCGCACCATGCCTCCTACGGGCTTCGATCCGCTCTGGATCCACGATCCTTTACCATCTACTTCTGCCACGGGAGATCCAAGATCCTAGATAGCCATGTTCAGGATATGTACACTATCTTTGTACACTGGTATATATACCTGTATACACTCTATGTATACAATACTCGTCCATAGTTACGAAAACGCCCTTTTCGCATTCTCTTAAAGATCACATAAACAAGACTATACTATATTCATCAACTGATTCATTCTCACCCATGATTGCCAGTGTCTTACAAAGTAATTATCCAAGATCACATTGCACCGTGTAGATACATACCCATGATAATAATTCTCAATTTTCCTTTACAGGCTCTGAGTTATCACGAAGACAACCTAGGACACTGTATCCTGTTAAGGATTGAGGAACAAGTCGTTATTGGTGTAACTGTAAAGCAATGCAGATAACATATGTAAACACGGCCGAGGGTGATGAATCCTGTAGCCGTTTTGTTAGGTGAATGTAAAGTAAATGCAAGTATACGTAAGTGAAGTAACGGACCGATCGACGCCGGTCATACCAACTCTCATAAATCGGTTGCTATCTCGCAATTAACTCTCTATCAATTACGACCGGTAGAACCCATTTGAATTTCAATCGGTTACAAAAGGGAAACTCGCATGTCTGTACGTATAATACCAGATAGGAATGTCATATTTTCACTTGGGAAAAAAGTTTAATCAGGTATTTTATATTTTTCAGATACTTCAGACTTGACAGATCTATGAAAAACTTGGAAAACCAATGGAGCTTGCACATACGCTATATAGGGATGGAAGACAGCATGTGGAACGCATGTATGTATATTCATATATACGAGGCAGCCCCTTCTTGGCCGCCGGGCGTGGTCCAGGCTTGACTGGTCGACTAACCCCTAAACGTCCAGTTAATTAGTGTTTTATTTTTCCACTTTTTCACTCTTTCTCAAAGCTCACTCTCTTTTTCTCTCTTTCTTATGCAGAGAGAGAGAGAGAAGAGACACGTACAGGTAGGCAGTCTCAAGCAGTCAGGAAGATGGAGGCACGAGACGTTGAGGTACCTGAGCCACCTAATAACGCGGGCCAACCGTAATGAGGAGTAAACTAATTATTGGATGCTAGTTGGGCAGGACGATATTTCAAAGGCTCGCTGACAGCCAGCAGGAGCAACAAGGGGGATCCCGGTCCGATGCTAGGAGTCACGAAGTTGGGTACCCATGGAGCGGAGAAGATTTTAACCGCGAGGAAAGATCTTCAGCATCCCTACTAGAAATCGTGACTGTATTAGGCCCGGTAAAGTGTCTAGTGGGGGTATATACTGGATGAAACGACCTATACTCCCACCATGGAGAACTGACCGACAATGAAGATTGCCTTGAGGGAACAAATTGGTCTTTACCACGGTGTCTGGGACTGTTTGTGAGATTTGTCGGAACAATACTAATAATGAAGTTACAAATGGTAATATATATATATATATATATATATATCTGAGATGACTTTACTACGTAGAATAGTTAGGGGATTTTATATTGCGTCATTATATCTACAGATGCGTCTGATTTTTACTGTACTATATACGTATGTGTTCGTGTGTCGTTGGATAATCGGTACCTGATTTTCGTGCCAGCTCAGATAAACCTTATGGATATAGTTTGAATGTGGCCGGTTTAGATAAAATATCATGGAGAACGGAGCCAATAGGTTCGTCTAATAGGAATAAACAATGTTATGAATTTAAACGGCCCAGCTTGGCGCCGCCATAACCCTATATTATCAAATTACGGTCTTAAAGCCCCGCGAGCTGGGATACTGCGACGCGCATGCGTCGTAAAGTTCTATCTTAACGGTAGGGGAACCCCCCGACTATTTCATTTGGTATTATTTTTATTCTGTTTATGAAACTTTATGTACTACGGGTAATCGAACTAGTTAGTGTACAACTGATAAGGGGATGAATATTCATTTTATTTAAAATGGCGTTTCGAGTTATATATGTATATATATATATATATATATGTGTGACATTAAAACTTGTGTAATTTTTATAGATTAGGTTGTGCCTAAGCGAAATTTCTCATCTCCATGACAATCGCTGGTTAATAACGGTTCGTCTTAATTAAATTAGGATTCCATCCAGGCCCCTTTTTTTTCCACCAGGGCGTGTCCGTCTTCCCGGTCCCAGAGAGAACTGACGGGGTCCAAGTCTGGAATCTCATGAAACGGCAATCTTAAAAACGCCATCTATCCTAGAGACCGAAGGAGGAGAAAGAATGAAAATATTTTTTTTTTAAATATTGTATCCATCTTATTACGTATGCGATATGTAAATAATTAATCTGTTCGTATGGGATCGTTTTCCTACTGATTTGTGACGTCCACGCCCTTGTGCCACATCTACTAACTGGCTGATCTATGCCCAAAGAGAGGCCCCATCCTAGAAACGCGTATAATATTCACATCTTTTATAACTGTAACGATCGACATCAGGCCCCGTCGAGTTATCGTAGTGCCTGGCCCAATTTTACGATCAGAGCCCAAACACCAAGAGCTTTCTTAATTTTCAAGTAAAATATCCAAGCTTTCCATGGCGTCCTTACGTCGTATTCATAAAGCGGCCATCCTGAGTCCCAACTTTTTATTAATATTCAGGGACGTCGAGTAAACGGGGGATTCATGGTAAAACTTCATTCTCTAACTTACCTGAATTCAAGTATCCCCCTATACCACGCCAGCCGTTAACCAAGTTAATTACGGTGAAATATGACTGATTGAAATTTCAAATGGTCCTCGTATTTCAACAGCTATACGACTGATATGGATACACTGTTTCTCATTTTTTCAAATAATTATTACAAGGCCCTCCAACTTTTTTTTTTTATTTCCTCATATTCTTTCTCACCCAATCGGGTAACTGTAAGACCCAATCGCCTTGCATTACTCGGTACAACTTTTCCAAATGTCCTCCATCTGAAAAGTAAAGAACTTGATCAATTTACTAGTCTGATTAGTAATCATATGCGTAGGTCGATCGAATCATTGACTATACGTGATATGCATACATAGTGTATATATATGTATATATGTATTTGCAACATATAGTTAGTTATATGAAAAGTATATGTATATAAGGCAATAAATAAAAATATATTGGGACAAGGGTACAGTCATTCAAGCATCCAAAGTACAAATGTCGAAGTTAACGAAATTTTTTTACAGTTGGGCCTGGTTGGCATATGCAATAAGGCAGTGAAACATTCCGAAATTCACAGGGGAATATAAATGCTTCAACGTTCGGATCATAAATATTCCATGTTATGTGAATTTCGTCTGGTTCCAGAGGATTCAAAAAATTGCATCCCTACCGATCCGGACACGCGACGTTGAACTACAGTAACCCGTAGAATTTTTTTGTACGCCAAGCAATTAAGTCTGGTTAATAATTTGATCGATGGATATCGAAAAACGTATTGATGCTTTATGGTAACAGGTGGTATATGGAAAGATCAGAGAGACCACCCTGTGTACCGACTATAGTAATTCCTCCTGATCACTCGTTTTCGAGGGTAAAATAAGTCCCAGCGGATGGGACGGTCGGAGGCTCTTTGGCCATTTTACGTCCAATAATCACCCCTAATTTAATAACCCCAAGGGTTCTATCCTGTCACTGTGTCGTTACCGGGCGGAAGTTGGTATAAGAATAATATAAAGAAGAAATAACATCCGCAAACCGACAGTGAAATTATTATATATATATATATATATATATATATATATATATATACAGATAAATAGTCAGCCATTAAATCCATAATGGCTTATATTTCTCTTAATTCTACAGTACTAAAAATGCTACAGGTCCATTCACAATTGCTCGCCCTGCTATGAAATAAAACGATAATTTTGTTACAGTAACAGAATCCATGTGAAATTTGTTTCAGATACAAAATTCAATTACAATAAGAATGCAAGTGTGTTGAATTGGCCAGCGAAAAATATTTTATTGGCCAATAACGATCCAATAACCGATCAATACAAGATGCGAAATAGGTTCAATCTATGGCAGAGACTGTGAATTATATATTTTGTTCCTTTTACTTGATCCCCAATCGCTGCAATCTTTCCTGTGCCTTAGATTGTTTGGATTCTATAAGACTGGCTTTTCAGAAGAGGAGCAAAGAATTGACTGCAGGCTGGCCAACTGTCTGACAATAACGTGAGATTTGTTATTTATGTCTTTGGTGAGGCGACACGGCGTGTGGGTGTCGAAGCCCGGTGCGCACCACAGGAGCCCGCAGCGTGCCTCAACGAAACGACGTTAAGAAACGGCTTGGATTCGTACAAAAGAAGACAGAAGCGAGGAGTAAAATGAAATTTAAAAAAGAAAAGAAACTTATATATTCTTATTTTCCATCGAGTTAAAACACCAGATAAGATTTCAATGTTGGCTGTAAAGGTTAAGAAAATTTGACGCTAACACTTTCCGTACGCCGGAGCGTCTTAAAATTATTTGAATCTCCCGCCGTAAACAAGGCCGTTCGTTATTGACGATTAACCATAGTCCTTTAAAGTGAATCGAACAAAAATATTATTCCCGTAATAATAAATGCCTCATTTTTATTCTATATGTAAAAGTCAACTGCTCCTACGTCTACCAGTTAATCTTATGCTCCGAGTTGTATCCGTAACGCAAAGTATCTTTGTCTTTTATCGTGAAACATAACCTCACAAAGTTATAGCGCTATTCAAACTCACCAGCCGTTTCTCATTCGCGCGTTACTTTGCGCAGCTCGCGCTTTATTCGGCAGTCTCGCCCGGCGGGGAGCACAAATTGGTGCCTGGCCGAATCTTTACGGACCAATTGCAGCTGTTCGTTTCCAATTGGCGACTGTAAGCAAGAGAGTAGCGTACAGTGGTAACTATACGTGTATATTTTAGGAAATAATAATTTCCTTACAGTAACAGGAAATCTATTTTTTCTTGCTCCCTAAGCCGAAAGTACCGTCTTCCCGGCGGGCATTTGAGTCCGGGAAGAGCCACTCTTGTGGCCTGCTTGCCTGCATATAAACAAATGCAAACAAGTGAATGTTCAATCGTAAACTCTGAGCGCCTATGTTTTTACTCGACTCTTCATAACCGTAAATTTGTAATGTCAGTTGAACAATGAAAAACGGGAAGACGGTACTTTTGGCTTAGGGAGCAAGAAAAATAGTATACGACCCATGGCCAAAAAGTTAAATGAATCCAACTTTCTAGGGTCGTAATATACTATTGTTGTTTGTACAGTGACGGATAATTTTATATAGTACCAAAGTACATTGCAGTTGGTACGTGCTGCTTTCCAGCCACTGACTGCCAACTTCAGATTGTAGGTTAGACGTAATGCGTACACGCGCAGTATAATACCGCCATTATCTCAGTGTCCGTTGGGATGGCAGGATTGTTTTAAATACTCAGCAGGAGTCACGGTTCCCTGCGGTGGCGTGGTCTTCATCCAGATTATTTATTGATAACCGTAATTGTCCGATGAGTGGGAATAAGATTGCTTCATGGTTTCATCTTAAACGAGCCTGGACCAATCATTGGCTAACCTAGAGAAATCACAGTTAGGTTATGACAACCTTACGGAATGCATCATTGCCATTTGAGAATTTATTACTCTCACATACGTGGGAGAATATATTATTGGATTTGTAAGAAAATAAAATGTTAACAGGTAAGACGGTAGCGGGATATAAGAATCCTGAGAAGCAGTGAGAGTGGTCCAGAGATCAAGAGGATTCTGGGAGTAAATGACAGAGCCCGTCGGCCGCCCCAACCCTCCGATTATTATTTTGATTAATTTCTACCGTCATTCGGTAGCCAAGATGGCCTCAGGTAGATTCTTGGAATCCTACTGTTCTGCTATTGGCACTAGTATTTATCCAGAAGCCCTTGGAGAAGTTTTTAGGCAGATATTCAAGATTTGGTCCAGCAAGAGCCTCAGGCTCATTTAGGTATAATACGAGGTAAAATCTTTTAGATCATTTCTATGTAGTTCAATCTTCTATTTTTATTGAACTTTTCAACCTTTTTTTTTTATAAGCATCACGTATGGCCGCGCATGCCCATCTGTCTGGAATACAAGATTCACAGCATCCGTACAAGCTAAAGCATCACTCTGTAAGAGGCTCTAACGTGGCTGAACGAAGTTCCTGAAGAAATTGCAAGCAGCCATCATCCTGAATCTCCGGTGGAAGGATAATTCGGTCTAATTCCGTGGTCCAGGATGATTTCAGCTATCTCCGGTAATCGGCCAGGCCCGCCTTGCGCCACGAACCAAAACCAGTAATAGGATGAAATTAAGAGGAGACGTGCCCTTCGCTAATCTATTAATTCCTTAGACTAGACGGCATTGGGCGTTGATTTTTAATCCCGAATTAGAAGGCCGGATAATTTATAAAAAAATTTCAAATAAGAAATAAATTCAAAAAGATATTCAATGATAGTACCTACATAAGAATTCTTATAGGAATTTCAAATCGTTTCGGAAACATTCCAAAAAGTTTAGTCTCTTAACTGTTATCCCTATTGTCAAATTTTTTACCGTTATACACATATGTATACTATAGTACGTAATAAACGTCAACTAAAGCCAGTGCACTTCTGTTTGGGCCTAAAAGAATGCGTTTCTAATTTACTTTTCGTATTAAGATCCGTTACTCGTTACAAATGTCATTAGATAGATCAGTAAAATGCTAGAGGCTCTTTATCGTTTGATTTATTTAGGCGCGTCCGTGCACCCAGAAACCGAGAGTACATTCCACACGTGTCATATTATCTTTGACTGCCACTCAAAGCTAAATTGTTTTAAGATACCCACGCGATGGCAATTAGGTGGCCTGATACAAGTAGTCTAGTACCGTTAGCTGAACTGGATTAATTAAGGATTAATTAAAAAAGTTCTTTAAAAAATGCACCAGCAAATTTGCACTGTAAATATCTTAAAGTCCATCATTAGGAACTTACTGCAGCGTAAAAGATAAATTTTAATACTCGCTCAAATTTCCATTAGACATCTTAAAACAACCCTTGAGCATCTAATCATCCAGAGGTATCCCATCCAAGGACATCAGTTGGATGGAAAGTGATCCTCAGTATGTCTATAGTATATTGGTTAGTTCTAGAAAGCTTTGGGTGAGTCATTAGGAATGCGATGGGGTCCAGTATTAGGGACAAGTCCTTATCAGAATGCCAGAGTGAACATTTGTCCCGTGTCCTCTTATCACTGCTACTTATACCACTATGGCCGCATTGCAATAAGTAAACGCATCCATCTTCTAGAACTTCTCTGAAGGATCCTAAGGACGGACCGAGGTGAGCGAATGATTTTAGAATGATTAGATTTTATATACCTCTCTCAAGAAGACCTTATCTCCACAGTCTCTTTGCCTGGCGTTATCTTCCTTCCGAAGAACCTTGCACCAGCTGTGAGTACCCGTGGTATCCTGATTAGGACTAGTCGGTCGTAAAAGATTCGAGGTTGGTACGTTATAACCGCATGCGTTTCCGTATGCGTTTTAACCTTTAACGTTTACCGGATATTTCAGACTGGAGACTTAGAGGGGGCCCAATGGGTCTTCCCTGGGACTGCAGACTAATCAGGCGTTTAGGCGCCGCGACATAAATATCTTCAGGAGTCCCATCCACCTTAGGGTCTCAAGCCTTAATCTTCGTCTTCCTGAGGACTGAATAGTATAGTACAGTACAGCCTTGAAGACTCGCTTCCTCCAGGATGCTGTTAAATAATTTTTTGTTAAAAAGCCAAACTATTTTTAATCAGTTTATTATTCTATGCAAACAAGCATGTTGATCGGCGGATCGGTTGTACTGAGATTTAATGTATTTTTTGTATTTTAATTATTCAAAATTTTAACTGATTTTAAATAACGCCAAAGATCAAAACTATGTTTGGCGCTCTCGTATCAAGACTTACTCTCTGTTCACTCATCCTCAGGGAGTGAATCCGGCGCTGGTGCTCATTACCGTGATTGGCAGATTCAATTAACGGGCATCTTGGGCCGGGCTTCACGGCGAGGTCGGGCCGGCTTAACCCCAGCTAAATATTATTAATAATAATCAGCTCATTACCGGCTCCATTAATTATCCAACCAGTCAAGGAGTGAACCAGATTCAAGCGGCACCGTGATTCCCGTGGAATCACGGTGGTCCAACGTAACCGTACGTTCTCCGCACCGCGGAATAGGATTATGAGTAATTTGTTGTGTGTAATTGGCTCGAGGAACTTGTTAAAACGAATCCATCAATATCTTGTCTGGGCCGCAGAACCCTAACGTCAAGTAAACCGGGTCGTTATTCTAATTAAGCACGTGTCGCCTAGAAGGCCAATCCCATACAGCGCCATAACCAATTGAAATACTTGGTAACATTTTTTTTTTTTCGACCACACTAAAAATCCCTATAAAAATAATATCCCCATACATTCCCGATCAAATATGTTCATACACCCACCGTTCCGTAGATTATCATCATTATTGTTATATCAGACTGATACATAAAGACTCAACGGTTCGTTACAACAGGTGGATTTTACAGATCCAAAGCGTCAGGTTCATAAGCCGCCCGTTGAGGGTTCATTGAGGCAGTATAGGAACCCCGTGTATTAGCAAGCCCTCCCTCTAGCCCCCCTTCCAGGTACCCCTCAAACTTCGTATAGATCGAGAAGTGGATGTAATATTAATCCATTTAACAAACTCATTACCGATGAGATATTTCGAGCGTTTACCGTGCGCAGCGCAGGTCCGCGCGCCGTGCCGCGCGAACGCTTCTCCTGGGGCCCCGGGTATTAGCGGTTGGCACCCCTGCGGTTTGATTTACGGGCGCGCACTAACGAGCCCCGGCACCGTGGTATCAGCGAAGAGGAGCATCGCCGACCTGAGCAAAGCAAGACCGAAGTATGGCTGCAACTGGGTAGCTAACCCTGACCATACCATATGCACCGTATAGTACGTCTGGCGTGGTGGTGATGCTTGGGGCCCAGAGGCTGATTGGCCCGTATTTGGTTATAATTAAGGCCCCGGCGGCAACCATTAGCGACCGCGCGCTGGACAACATTGTTCTACAAACTAAAAGAGCCGCGGCGCGTAAATCAAATTGAGTAAAGAGCCTGTCTTGCGATTTAGACGTGGCGTCTAGAGACTTTTACTTTTTATTTATAATTTTGATCTTTCAAAATTATACTTGGATAGAGAGAATGTTTATGGATGGATATATGGATATATATATATATATATATTCTTGTATAATTTATCTTTCATTTTGTCCGTATATAATCTAGAAGATGAGTTTAGATTATCCTCTTGGGAAATTACGTCTCGGTACGGTGCGTCGTAGGAATTGTCGCACGTGCGAGAATTCTTGGCTTAATGTCGCCCGTTGTATGTAAACCACAGGTGAAAGTCTCTATGGTTAATAATGATTTCCTAATTCGGTGTGGTTTAAGTATTTGTTGGGGTCTGATGGTTTTAATGGCCGTAACGTGTACGTCGGCTGAAGTTAATTTTATTGTGGAATTTTCAATGAGAATTTAATACGCGACATGTTTCACGCTTACCTCGTATTGCGGATACTGTGTGATCGTATAACGGGTGTCACTTATCTAGGGATCTTTTTTTAACAATACACACGAATATGGCAACAATGTTCTTGGGTTTCGTATAATTGGCACTATGGGGGCACCATGGGGGCAACTTCGTACTGTTCGGTTCTGACTTTATCCTCTCCTATACCTCTTATGGCTGACTACCTCACGACATGGGATGAAGAGATTTACAATGTTCCTGGCCGTAAAATAATCAATAAAATCTGCGCAAAGTAAAGAAACGGACGTGCGGTTGTGATTTAGTGCGGAGCGCCGCGCCCGGGTCCTTCGTATCGACGCCATTTCTTTTTATAAAAGGCTTAAGCTCCGATTACGGCGTAAACCTTTTTTTTTTTTACATAGGTCTGGTACTTATTGATTATACGAGGCATTCGTGTTGAGAATTTAATATTTTGTCACAATTTACATATATGCATTGCGTGTACGATTGCTTTTTTTTATACGTAGTACAATCGAGTGAGAGAACTAAGAAATTTTTTTTTCAGTCCACTATATTTTCACGAAATATTTCGTGTAAACAGATCATAAGGTTTTGGGCCTGGTGGGAAAGAGTAGGTCGCCCTAAGGCCTGCAGTAGGAGCAAACTGGTGACGAATTTACGAGCATCTTACGAGCTGCCTTCTTCGAGGACGAGAAACGATAAAATAAGTTTGCGATACTCAAAACAATCGCGAGAAACTAGTATCGATCCCAGTAGGAGTCGGATCGGCCTTCGAATTTGATTTATACCTGATTATGGAAGAATCCACACGTTCGACCCTGCTGACAAGAGGTCTTGTTGCTTGTCCAATGAAAAATAATAAGGCGGTACTCGCCGTGTTGGATAAATATAGTCGTAAGAATTTTGTTACAGGGCGTCGATTCACTTTTAAAATGATATAAGTAATACGTACAGTATTTTTGGTGAGTTATCCATTTATATGTATACGAGGCAGTACAGCTGTTGGTTAGAAGAAGGGGACGTCCTGTTTGTTTTATTAAAGGGATGGTAAAGATCCGCGGCTCTGATTGGCCGTCTCATTATGCGGCAATTAAACAACATGGCGCACAACTGGATTAGTTCCTTCAGTTCCCATGGCGCTAGTTGTTGGAACACCTGGAAGGCTTCGTGGAAAATTACTGCAGGCAATAGTAAGTAGTAGGTATGCTAATAGGGATTGGATGTGATATGAAAATAGTGTAATTTTAAATGTAGAATTTCCTGCGGCAATTATATTTAGATTGGAGCTAGTTGAATTCCTATGAAAACACCAGAGGGACGTTGGCGGTTAGTTCTTTACCGTGTAGTAGGGGAAACTTACCCTTTATGGGTTTAGTTAGCGAGGAGTTGGCGTGCCTGACTTGCAATTTCATTCGATCTATTCAGCCTATAATTCGACCTACTTCCAAGAAAAGTCCTGGCGCAAGGACGACGCACCGGCGTCGAAGGACAATAAGGAAACGGGTCCTGGATTTTTTACCTTTCGATATATCTAACGCTTTCTACGAAAAGCTTAATAACTGTGTACATCGATCGATTGGACAATAACGACTCAATCAAGAAGCTGGATACAGGAAGGAGATTTGATTTGAGAATCCCTTCAGGACCTTCGTGGAATTCATCCCCTTTTCGATTTTCGATTGATACATCAACACTTACAATGAGCCCTTTAAGGATATACGGGTTGGTTAATCTTTATAAAAAATATTTCACTAGGATCATGCACATTGTTAATAACAAATTTTTCTATCTATCGATTAAATAAAGAATTATTGTAAGATTAACAAAAAAAAAAGATTAAATGAGTAGAATAATTTGAAATTATTCAATCCTCTTATATTATCAATGTATAAATAATTTGAGCGGAGAATCACGCCTGCACATTGGCAACCCGTTATACGTGGTCGCAACGTAACATTATTTATTTGATCTTAATCGCACCGAGTTTCACAAATAATTATTTTTACATGCCGTCAATGGATAATTCGTTACGGCTCTAACTTAATCACTGACTCGTTCTACCAACCGGAGATTGATTCTAAGACAAAGTCAATTAGTCTTGGTGGTTTCTTTCCGAGTGAGCGGGTATTTAGATTTTCTGCAGGCCATCATTGAATTTTCTCTTCGTTCGTAGAAATTAGAGCACAAAATCATGTGGTACCTGATACTGTTTCATTTGGGCGTATCCAAAACGTGCGACTCTACGGGCCAATTGTATTTTTTTCGAGACAGAATATTCCGGGAAGGAAACTCAATCGGGTTTGCGGTAATTAAAAAAAAAAAAAAAAATGTTCTGGACCAGCAAACTCGATTCAGCTAACCCCATTGTTGCATGACTCGATGAGATAAAATATTGAAGTATGTTTTTTTTTTAACTTTCCAGGTAAACAAGGTGCACTTTCCAAATCTGAGATTATTTATTTTTGGTGCTATTGTTGAACGTCGGATTGCTAAAGGTGCTTGTCGCTTGTTTGTACAAGGGATTGTCACTCTGTAAATGAATTAAAATTTTCAACAATTGAAATTCATAAATTATTTCATCGAAACTTACCCGATCCCATTTAGCCAACGCTCGTTCATTTTCAAACTTTGCATATTCACGCTTGTCGTGTACGTATGTGCAAATTTTCCAAATTAATAAAATCAAGAAGCCAAGGATCACCGTGCTCGCAATCACGCCAATTGCTATACCTGTGAAAGAAAAAAAAAAATATTTCTTCAAAACTTATTCCTTGACGCTTCAACAATTACAGTATCTTACCTAGAATATTCACAGGGGTAGGACAGTCCCTATCTTTTTGAACAGTAATTTTGAAAATTTTTAGATCACCGCGCGAACCTTCTTTATCTTCGTACTTAAATACAAAAGTGCACCCTGCGTCACTAGGAACTCTACAAATATGTGCACCAGTCTGCGGATCCATTATCGGATCCTCTTCCACCTTATCGACCTACGAATTAACCAATTTATAATTAAATAATAGTATTTTGCGATACAAGTGCGAGAAAGCGAACTTTACAGGTAGGCGGTGAAGTTGGTCGCACGAGTCGCACACGAGTAACACAACGGTACGAGCCGAAGGTGAGTGCTGCTTGTTTTACGAGTGCGGCGAGTATGACAAACTTCACGACCTGCGTGTAATGTTCGCTTTATTGTACCAGTATCGCATAATATTTTCTGTAACGAATGCATGAAAAACGCTACTTTTTGTGCCTCCAAAGTGACTGGAACATCTCTTCGTTGGAGGAGGCAGCCATAAGAAGAGCAAGGAAGGCTTCCAAACTGAATGCATTTCGTGACAGCGCGCGAGAACAAAGTTTACTTTATCGCACTAGTTCGA